GAACACAAGACAAGCATGAGCTCGCTCAAGCTCGGCTCGTTTACAGCCCTAATTGTTAATAAAATCTTCAAATAGTGCATTAGCAGACTAGACAAAAAATCACAAATATTTGGAGATGCAAGTTCAGCAAAAATAACAAAGAGGATGGAAGGAATCTCTAATGGGATTGTCCACAATTTCCTAACACTCTTCTTAAATTCACAGATCATTTGATCATTCTTAGTTTCTCAATAATTAGGTATCGCATCACACAATTTGTTGACCTTCACTTTAAGCAAGATGTATCAAAGGCCAGAACCTTGACTATTCTTGTTGCTTGTCAAAAGCACTGCACAAAACTATCGAGGGACAAGTTGAGACAAATTTGCTCAAGCGGTCGCTTACAAATGTTGAACCACGAAATGCAAGTATTGTGTTGATGGTGTGTTCGTTGGGAAAAAGTAGTTAGAATCAAGTTAGCATAATGAAACTAAAGTGTGCTACACTTGATAAGGTCGAGAGGGAGGATCCTAAGTAAGAGTTCACGTTCTCTCCATGAATCTTCAGCTCTAAACATAGGGCATGAGAGCGAGATCTAGTTTAGAGCGACCACTGCAGCCCTACGTTCAGTGTACATGGGCAATCCATAATAGGTGGGCATAGATTATATCATGTAATGGAGGATGAGCCATGAAGGCTCTAAACAGAATGCTAAAGATGACTAATGATGATTGTGAGCATAAAAATGCCAATACAACAAATGGTGAGTATGGGGAGAGTGCATGAAGTGCCATGAACCATGCACCAATTGATTAAGGGAGCATTGATAAGCCACAATGCATGTTTAAGATTTACACTATAGAAAAATAGTCATAGCATGTCACAAGACACGGTAAAAGATAGACAATTGTGGCCCTTTGTATTTACCATTTGCATATAATAATCCTAAATCATGTATGGAAGAACCACTCATAACATATTATTATAGATCCAACAATATTGGTGAAGGGGAGAAAGAAGATGACAACAAGGCTACCTTAAATTCTCTTTCATCGCTGCTTGAGGAGTCAAGCAAAACATTACAAATCAATTGTGTAAAGGTAGTAGGGATGAAAGGAAGGTCATTGCACATGGAACAAGAGAAGTAAACTGACAATTGAAATTACAATAGCCATCTAGGAGCAGTTGTATGTTTATATATTCATTTGACCAAACTATGGCACATAAGGAGGCCAACTTATACAATGGAATGGATTCATTGTTGTTAAAGCAATTAAAGTCAAGTGACGGTACATTTTACACCTAAAATCATAAATGAGGTCATAAGGCACCACCAAACACAATAATGCCATATGGATCATTGAATAAAAAGAACATTAGTGTTGATTATCTTATAATACACAATCAAGGATTTTCGAATTCAAGGTTAAAAGAAAGGTTCAACTGCGAAGTGGTAGTTTGATGTAATCAAACTCAATTGGCTAACGTTCAAGGTGATAAGGCCCACACATGGCACACCCTAATAATTAGCTCATAACTCTAGAGCTAAAATTAATCGCGGTTCACAATGTAGATCGACTTTTGCCGCTTAAAGGATAAGATAGTTATAATTGCATGGACCAAGCACCCCTTTGACTCTCCAAAGTACTTTTTTTTCTCACAAATAAGAATTATAGAGGATTATAACATATTTAATAGGTTGCATCACCTCTAGAGGCCATCACCTAACCCTCACCCATAAGCTACATGATTATCTCCATTCCTATATGAAAAGCGGGATTTTTTTCTGTCTTGATTGAAACCCCAATGTAGATAATATTTGATACAATTATACTAATTTAAAAGCTAAGCAAAATATTGCAATGGCACAAAATCGGTCTGCCATAGACCTAGCATAATACAATGCACCTTTTACATTATTTGCATACCAAATCACAAAGAAGAAAAATTGTACATGCAATGTACACAATGTGTGCACTATACGCATGGTACATATTGTGCATCCTGTTTTAATTATAAACTTTTATTGTTTTTTTGGTTTATTAATTTATTTTAAACTTATTTATCTTTATTTTCTTTCTTTAAAGATATTAAATATATTAAAGTTCATATCATCAAACCACATACAGCCATCCATGCTTTTAGAAAGATCTTGGTTCTCAACTTTTCAACCTCTCGCAAAAATGCAACCAGTGAAAACAATAGTAATCTATTGTGACTAAGAAGAAGGCGCAATCCATTGATCCCAAAATGGCAATTGTTATCATCAATTTGAAAAAGCATGGTTATCATCAAAAGAATAAAAAATTATCATCATCCAGGAAATCTGTAAAACACATGCAACCCAAGAACTTGTGTCCCATACAAAAGTTGCAAGTTAAAGTCAATAATTTGATTCCAAATCATAAGTCTCTGGCATCCAAAAGTAGTGAGTGTGGAACTTCATAGAGAATGAAATATTCAAATCACATAGAAGAAGAATAACAATAAAGCATCAAAATATGATTAAATTATTTTCCTTGCTCTTGATGATGTCTAGCATGGCCTCGCAACACTGCCTTAGCACACCCTTTTCTATCCAATTATTTCATATGCTCTTTCATTCAAGATATTTTCATACATTGTTTTCCCTCAATTATGCTTTAATTTGATGTTCATTTAATGTTCAATTTGTTTAATCTAACTTAGCAGATTGCTAACAATATTGTGATACTATATCATTGATTTAAATTTGTTAGATTAATATTGTTTATACTAATCAAATTGCTAGGCCATCATTTTATTGTAAGCTATACTCTTACACTCATTAGCAAAGAGAACAAAAATCTTTTCAAGATCTTTTTATGTTTTGTGCTATTTTAAAAATAGTGCATGTCTCTCGCTATGCACTATTGTGTGATATTTCTCATTGGCAAATATGGCTAGACTAATAATAATGACCGTCTTTTCTTAGTATTAGAGGATCATCGTGCCCATAAGTCAAAAATGAATCAGTACGAATCTCGAAGATTCAACAGAATACAAGACAAAATTACGGTCAATGATGGCTCATCAGAAGGACCAAGAGTCGCATTAGCAGAAGGCCAAAAGATCTCATTGACCAGCAAAAGTTCTCTCATTACAGGATTTGAACTGACCGAACGAAGGACATCCTAGTAAAAAATTGTAACCTATATAGTCGGGGAAAGGAACTAGTCCAACTCGTCTAAATATCACTAGACCCCTCGCAGGAGCCTCCAAGACTTCCAAGGGCCCAAGGATCTCATTATTGAACATTCATCAAGCCTTTTAGACATATTTTTTGTCAAAAGGGTACGCTACCTATCAGATTACGGTGGTTCAACCTATATCTGACGACCTTGTTTTACCCCAACAACATGAGTTTCTCATCCAGGTTAAACGGTTAATAATTAGACTGAGACAACCGATCGACTGACTCAAGCAGACCGAATGAAGCTCGGCCTACAAAAGAAAGTCCAAACGACTGAAGGACTACTAGGGCCGACCGATTGCCCCAACTTGACAGAGTCGACCGAATGTACTTGGCTGACCCAAGAATTACAAGTTCTTGTCGACTAAACAAATAGCCAAACCCTCCTTTGATTTCTATATGCCTAAAATATCATGTAACAGCCTCGTAAAGTAGGGCAACCATATAAATTTTCACTTTATGCCCCCTTGCCTATAAACAAGGAGACATTTCTACAGTAAAGATTTAATCAGTTACTTTTAAGGAATCAGATTCTTATTGTGAACTCTCTCTCTTCTCTCTCTCATTTTAAGTTCTATTCTATTGAGAAATTAGGACAAAAAAGCAGAAATCGACACAAATCCAGATGAATACACAGAGATTTAACGAGGTTCGGCAAAGATGTCTACGCCCTCGGGAGTAGAACGGCGGCTTCCTTTCATTTCCAGAAAAGAGTACAGAATATGAGATATAACATAGAATAGTCTAGGGTTACAAACAGGCTTATATATAACCCTGGAGTACAATATGTAACTCTCAAATTACTCATATACCGTACTGTGGAGCGTTTCCCTCACACCCCCAACCCACATAACGAAACTCCCCCGATTTGAACAAATTCTTCTGCTCCGCTTCGTTCCAGCATCTGTCTCTTATATGGTATATGAGTCATACCTAACATGTTCCTTGGATGTCATTCACGGGGCAGATTCGGATTCAACAATATTAATCCAACTGCACAAACTTCGATCCCTGCACAAAGACTAAAAAGAAATATTACAATAATCACCATAATCTAAATTTTTTTACTGTGTCTGGTGTGTGCTTATAAGCAATACAAAGCAGACAAGCTGAAATAAACTAGATAGTGAGAGAACATCTTCGGATCAAACACTCTATCTGTGATAGCTTGAGGCAAAAGGAACCGTAGAAACACGAGCTCTCTAGGATCCACGGCTTCTGTGAAAAGTGCCCATCGTTTCTTCTTCATAAGCTCGAAATAAAATACTGCATTTACTCTTTCCGGTGAAATTGCTAGAAGTTCAAAGTTCTAACCTATCGACACAATAGATCTTGCACCCATTCAGATTCTATCATCATCTACAGCAGCTCAGGAGAGCCTGCTCTAAAGATTCCCCTATTATGGTTTCAACCAGACAAAAATACATAAGGCGGCAACAAAGAGGAGCAGATCTTCCATCCAAAAACTAAATAGCCAAGAACAGATCGCTGATCTAGTAACTCGATCAGCACAAACCAACCAGACCATGAACAACCAAATATAACCAAACTCAAAATAGATCGGCTTTGAATATTACATCATAACCAATATTACATAGCCAAAACCTCCAAACATTCAGCATTTACAAACAATATCTCAAAAAACCCAATCAAGAAAAATGACGCATGCAAATCTCGTATTTGAAAAACCAGCGCAAACAAGCAATAAAAGATAGAAATGCGCAGTACCAAGATCTCCTCCCCAACAAACAACAATCGCAAGACACGCATTCTCGAAACTAGAAACGAAGAAGCAGCAACGATTCCATACCTCAATGGTTGGGTCGGAACACGAAACGAGGCCAAGTATCCAGATTCGCCACTCCAGAAAAACAAGGATTATGAACTTGATGCTACAGCCAAGGCTTAGGCCCGTTGGGTTAGGGTTCGGATTGCGATGATTGAGTGGCCGGCAACGTGACAGGCGAGGAATCACATGGCGAGCAGCAGAACAAAAACCGAAGAAAAAAAACAAGAGAGGGGGAGAGAGAGAGAGAGAGAGAGAGAGAGAGAGAGAGAGAGAGAGAAATAAAATTAGTTTCAGAATATATTTGGAAATAAGAAAATAATAAGGTTATCGAACGATCACAATCAAGGAAGGATCCCATCAGTGGGCCCCTTTTATAGGTAGATACTGTGTATGTCGGGCTTTGTGCCACAAAATGGGCCCCGGTGAATAAATAATTACAATTTATGCCACTAAGGTCTATTTCAGTGGTGCAACATCAGCTCATTTTCTTTTCACTGTCGACGATGGGCTTGTTTGTCTTTTTCATTTAAGTTGCTTCAATAAATTTTTTTAATAAAATAATAGTTTGAAGGGAAAATTACATGCATAACACTTAATTAGCAATAAATATTAAATTTGGAGTTTGTGTCTAAAGTCGAGACGTCTGTCTGTTGTCCAGATGCAAGCAATGTCCGGACAACAAACGTGATTCACCGAAGCAAATAAAGAGAAAAAAAGAAAAAAATTCCTCGCCCGTCGGTGTATCACATCTGTTGTCCATAATAGTTTGAAGGGAAAATTACATGCATAACACTTAATTAGCAATAAATATTAAATTTGGAGTTTGTGTCTAGAGTCCAGACGTCTGTCTGTTGTCCAGATGCAAGTAATGTTCGGACAACAAACGTGATTTACCGAAGCAAATAAAGAGAAAAAAAGAAAAAAATTTCTCGCCCGTCGGTGTATCACATCTGTTGTCCGGATGTTGTCTGCGTCCTAACATCGGACGCAATATTTTCTCCCCATTTTAGGCTGTCAAAATGGCTATTTGTTAACGAATAGCTCTTGCTTTGTTCAATAAGAAACTCGTGTTTGATTCGTTTGCTAAGTGAACGAGCAAACATAAACACTTTTTTAGTGTTCGATATATAAACGAGCCGAACATGAATAAAGATATGTTCGTTTGTGTTTAGCTCGTCTTGGCTCGAAAAAATACTCATCAATTAAGAAACTCATGATCGACTCGTTTCGGCGTATTAGGGGTGGTCGGGGCTCGTATCATAGCCTCCGACCATTCCTTCTGAAATATATATATATATATATATATATATAATTAGTATTTTTTAAAAAACTAATTGCCTACAAGCTTACAAAAATTTATAATCAATTAAAATTATTAGTTAAAAAAAGAATAAAAATGTATTAAATAATATTAATAAAAATATAAATAATAAGATTTAAATATTACCATAACCACTAGCATCCCACAGCTGCATGACTAGAGTTGTCAAAACGGCTCTTTTTTCACGAACAACTCGTGTTGGCTCGTTGAGCAAACGAGCCGAACACAAACACACTTTTTGTGTTTGAAATATAAACGAGTCGAGCAGGAACAGTGATATTCTTTAAGGAGTCGAACACAAGCTGAGCTTGCGCTCATGCTCGGCTCCTTTACACCTCTACACCCAATTCTTATGGATTCACCTATCTCGCACCTAGAGCTTCATTTTTAACACACATGACACTGTTCTTATGAATGAAAAGATTGATTTGACTATTAAAATTTGATAATGAGTGTTATTTTTCGTATGATATTTGTAATTATGAAAGTTTAGACGGTATATAGAGAAATATGAAATTTTTGGGTGACTAAATTAAATTAGTTCAATAGTCTTTTTCGTGATCATGGCCAACTAAAACAGTGGACAAACTTTTTTTTTTTTTATAACTTTTTTAAGTAAGAAGTGAATAAAGAAGTTAGATCAATTTTTGTCTCTTAGGAAAATCAATTTTATTAGGATTTGTGATTGATATATCATTTAAAAATTCCTATAATTAATATAAATGTTGTGTTAAAAAATTCACTGTAAGAGATAGTGAGATTAAGTTATGAATATTGCATGAAAATCTAACACGCACATGGATAAAATAAGTATTAAAAAAAGACGCATTAATGATTTAGGTGAAAACAATAGAAAGTAAAAAAAAAAATCAGGGGATCTGACCCCGTTGTGAGATTAAGTTATGAATATTGCATGAAAATCTAAGCATGTACATGGATAAAATAAGTTAAGAAAAAGACACATTAGTGATTTAGGTGAAAACAATTGGAAAATAAAAAAAAAATCAGGGGATCTGACCCGTATGAATTGTCTATTATATATTTGAAATTACAAATATTAAATTTTGTTATAAGTAGAATATATTGAGTTTTATAATCAAACCGAGGGTCTGTTTGGGGTAGTTGCAGCTTTTAAAAAAACAGTTGTGAATGTGTTGAATAATAATCTGATGTTCAAAGGGCTGCAGTGACAATTATAATTTTTTTTTAAAGAAAGACTGCAGCTAGAAAGTTGTCACCACACCTAGCAAATAATGGTGGAAAAATACAGATTTAATCGGCAGTTTTTTGAAAAAGCTGTCAAGACACGGTTTGCTTAAATAGACAACATTGCGGTGTGGTGCCACACCGTAGCCCCAAACAGACCTTATGTTATGAATATCAACCAAAAACCGTCACTTAAATCTGTATTTTCCCACCACACCTAGCAAATAGTGGTGGGAAAACACAGATTTAAGCGACAGTTTTTTTGAAAAAGTTGTCAAAACACAGTTTGCCTAAATAGACAACATTGTGGTGTGGTGTCACACCGCAGCCCCAAATGGACCTTGTGTTATGAATATCAACCAAACACAGTCGTAAGATGGTGATTGAGCTACAACAATTAAAAAAAAGCCTCTTTAAAATGATTCACATTTGATCATATATCATCCGCTTTGAATTTAGATATTGGGAAATTTACATACATGGTACGCAATAGTTTTGGATTTACGCAACACACTCTTAAAACTTTCATATTTACACGCATAGCAGTTTACTGTGCACGAAATGATGGATTTAACTATTAAAAAATATTAATTAGTTTTATTTTTTATATGATACTAAATAATTGAGTGTTGTGAGTGTAAAAAAGAAAGTTTTCATGTGAGACACATAAATACATAAGATTCAAGTGATATGCAAGTAAATGCACCTTAAATATTTTAGTGATCACGAAACTAAGTGATATTAAACTCGCTAGATTTTTCTTATTGAAATGTTTAATTTGACTATAACCATGTTAAATTTTGAAGAACATTTAATCCTTCATCTAATACACATTTCGGCTCAGATCAAATCATTTTTAGTGTCATTTGGTTCGTATTGTCGGGATGCTCAGGTTGATTATAAAATTCTTAAAATGAGAACTTGAATGATCTCAAATCTAACAATAAATTTTAGAAAATACTTCATGGCGACTTAGATTTACTTTGCATGATGCTTGAGGCTAAATAAATGCTAGATTCAAGCTCAAATATATCTAAATGAAACATTCATAAGCATGATTAATGATTTATGAAACCATTTAATTGAAAGGCATGTTTTTTTATTGAAACCAATATGACAATTAGTCAAATCTTTCTAGCAATGATCACTCAATCATGATGTTAGTAAGGCAATATAATCCAAAAAAAAATATTGTGTGATCAAAGAGAGCCAACACATATCATCCATTGGAGTTTTAATTTCAATATAATTAATGATAAGCCCCATTCAAAAAAAATATAAATGACATACTTCTATGCATTAGAGTAGGAGGAAAATGAGTTAGTGGAAAGGCCCAAAATAATTTTTTTATAAGGATAGCTATGAACTTTTTTAGTATAAATAATTTTTTTATATGTAGGACTTCTAGAGTAGTGATAAATGATGGGAGTAGTCACTTCTCTAATAAACATGTTCAAATATTTTTGAACAAATATAAGATTAGACAAAGGATAGTTCCTGCCCTATAGCAACATATTAGTGGACAAACTAAAAATTCTATTAGGTAGATAAAAAAATTCGAAGAAATATGTGTATCCTAATATGAAAGATTGGGTGTTAAATTTAGATGAATCTCTATGCGCATAAATGAATGCAAATAAATCATCTCTCGAGATTCCACACTATATCAATTGATTTATAAAAAGGATAGTGAACTCTCCCTGTAGCTATAACACAGAGCCTTATGAGTAATTAAATAATTTAATTTCAATTTGAAAGAAGCTAAGGAGAAAATGTTATTACAATTGAATGAACGAGACAAAATTTGATTACAGGTTTATAAAAATGATATGACTTATGAATAAAAATATTAAGAAATAGCATGATTGTAAGCTAAATATGAAGGAATTTACACATGGACAAGATGTATTACTATTTAGTTTGTTTTTGCTCTTTTCTCTTCTTATCTTTAGAGGGAGTCGTGAGCTTGTTAATTGTCATATACTTCTACTTTTTAAATAAATATTTTTTTGGATCATATGAATGATCAAGAAAAGGGAAGAACAGAAAAAGACGGACATACGACAAATACGACAAACAAGAGAAAGAACGTAGATAGCCTACGTGTGATAAACCTTGCAATGATAGATCAAGCATGTCTGTCTATACAAGATCAGACAGAAGCACATTGGACCAGTATCCGCGAAAGAATACCCACGTAGACTAGCATGTCTGTCTATACAAGATCAGACAGAAGCACCTTGGACCAATATCCGCGAAAGAATACCCACAACTAGAGATTCATATATATTTGTCTATTCTGGGGCCAAGAGCACTCTCAAAGGGATGTATCCCACTTGGTTAATTACATCTTGAGGAATACCCAAGAACACTCTCGATATAAGGGGTTTTGCTCGTATTATCATGGAAGGATACCCAAGAATACTCTCGATAGAAGACGCCGCCAGGTGACACTATACTTTCGGGCTCTCGGGTTAAGGGTTATTTTTTTGTTGTTTTGGGCGCTAGGCGTCCGAAACTACTGCCTAAGAGCTTAGTCTAGCACTCAGGCACCAGAGATTAACACAAGACTTCCAATGGCTCATGTTAGGATGTCTAGGAAGGCATTTTGGGTGCCTAGGTGCTCGAGGTCGGTGGTGGGGCGCTGGTCTAGTCCTGAAACCATGATTTTCACCGGGAGTGTCAAACATAGGATTTTCTCGATCCGTAAGCTATAAGAGACTCCATATGTGTAAAATGTATTCCCATGGCCTTGAAACTGAGTATTTTTGTTGATCATTTATCAGGAAAATTATTGTCGACGGTCGTCTTAACTTTCTCATAGCTCGCATGAGAGGACTCCATGACTTTCTTTAGCCACAAGAGGCTCTTGATGGATGTGTGGTGACTTATAAACATCCAAATAAGCATCGAATATGTCTTGCATCTTGAATGAACATTCCCAATGACAGTTTCTCCCGAGTAAGACTAAATCATTGCCAACCCAAGCTCCTTTCCTCAAACAAGTGCTAGGTCCCTAGTGGGTGTCTTGAGCTACCAAATGCTACGGAAGAACCGTAGACTATCTTGAATTTTGTAAGCGGATACCCAACACTTGTGGCATTGAAAATGATGCCACCATAATTCAATTTTAATATGTGGAGTAAAAGCTCAGGTGGTCAAGTTCATTCATTGTAGTCAAAGTAAATATGTATGGGATAGTAAAATTTCATGTCGTAAGAACTTCTCAAACTCTTAAAGTTAATAAACAATGTTTATGTATGAGGTGACACAGAAAGACTCAAAAAATAATTAAATCAAGTCATCCAAATTAATAGAACTTAACTCTGTCAGGTTGAGAATGTTAAATTAAGAGCTTATTAGGAGGTAACCTAATGCAATCTTGTTGTGTGTTTGCTTATTTGATTGTGTGTATGGAGTGATTTGTTAAAAAAAAAATAGTGTATAAGTTTGTGTTGTTGAGCTGCAACGTTATCCCTTCAAAAGATCGCACACGAAAAGCCAAATTGTGAAGGCAGTGGCGAGTGATGAGCATGAAAGGAAGAAATCACTGAAGAACGCATAGAGAGAGAGGATGAAAGGAATCATAATATATATATATATATATATATATATATATATTTGCGATTTATTGGGAATGAAGACAAAATCATCATGATTGAGAAAAGTCGGGAGGAAACAAGCAGGATTGTGATGGAGAGTGGAGAAAGAGAATAAATTTTTGGTTTTACATACCAACCTTTTTAAGAGAATTTTGTCCTCAAATTCTTACATTAGTTTAGAGGATAACTGAAGGTACTTCATGATCATCTCTTATTCAATCTCCCAAATTTTTTTCTAGGTCTGTGTTTTCTTCCAAAGTAACATGATAAAAGGAATAGATCAAAGACAAAGTTGCAGGATTCCACGCCAAGATATGATCTTGCACTTCTTCAAACTTGGGTCTTCTCAAATCTTCTACAGCTCATGATGAAAAATATGAAAGTTGTTAAATTAAGAGGCGATGTTATAGTAGACTCAATGGGTTAAATAGAATCAACATTGTGACAACTAGTGGTGTAGGGTGACCCCTACAGACACAACTTCTATAGTTGCTTCAGAAACTTATGTTGTCTGAGCAGCTACAACACTTTTTCTTTACATGATGAAAAATATGAAAGTTGTTAAATTAAGAGGCGATGTTATAGTAGACTCAATGGGTTAAATAGAATCAACATTGTGGCAACTAGTGGTGTAGGGTGACCCCTACAGACAAATACAACTTCTATAGTTGCTTCAAAAACTTATGTTGTCTGAGCAGCTACAACACCTTTTCTTTTGAGTCATTCTAAATAATTGAAATTAATATGAAATCAAAATAAGCTAAATAACTAACTAATTAGAATGACATATTCCCTACCCAATATTAAGAAGACAAGGGACATGAAATACAGAGACAATGGATGTTGAATACAAAACACACACTAATACCACAATGTCACACCCTAGATCTGGAAGGTGGTATACCTCGATAGTGTAGGACATGATAAAATAAAGTGAACATATTTTATATTTTTAAAATAAAATTATATGCAAGTAATAATAGAGAGATAAAATAAATGATTAATTTCATGACATAAATAAGAGTCCAACTTATACAACTGAAATGAAAAACAATACAGACTAAAACAAAATTGAAATGATAATAGATAAATAACCACCTAAAACCCAAAAAAACTAATATCATTATTGTAATACCAACAAAATAATATAGAACTATAAGGTTTGTTTCTATGAAGACGATCCTACAAGTGGTTGAATAGAACTTGTTATATAAAAATATCAAATTGGTGATTTTCATAACTCAAACCCAATAAATAATCACTATTTGTTAAACTATAAATGATAAGAAATTGGGGCATACAATATGAATAATAAAAAGAGATAATTATTATGTGCATATATAATATTATAAGATAATAAAAATGTGGTAAACAAAATATGTTTAATTATAATAAAAAAATATGTAATTGTTTCGAATGTGATCAGTCTTACCAATATATAACTTAACATTTATTTATTATTCAGTTTCTATTTATATTTGTATAATTGGTTTTATGGGACACTTTGAAACCGAGAAGATGAACATTAACTCAAAGAAACTCACTTTGTGGGCCTGTCGGACCAGCTGGTGAATACTCAAAAAGGTTTCCCTGACCTACATACCACTGTATACAATCATATATGCTACTTTACACAAGCTCATAATATGACAAATCTAGACAAATCTGCATGCAATTCATAAGTATGAAATACAAGAAAATATAATATTATAATTGTAATATTTCATAAAAAATATAGGGATTTCGGAACCAATACAATAAGACAGCTAATTGCTTCACAACGAGTAATGAATGATGCATACAACGAGTGCAAAATAAAAATATAAATGAAGTAAAAAGACATGACTGATAATCATACAAATTAACTAGAAATCTACAATAAATAATAAGAATTAACATCCCTAACTAAGAATAAGTTTATCCCCTAATAATGCACACTTACTTTGAGGAGAAGAGTAATACTCTGAATTCAATATCGACTCAACCAAAGTTAAATAGTAGATGATACAAAAATTAAAAATCCTAATTATTAATAATTATGCAAATAAAATTATTAAATATAATTATTTATTAAATTAGGTGCAACCTAATTGATACTCATCATCATCATCATAATTACCAGTATTATTTATCATCATCATCATTATCATCGCAATACAACCAAGATAATCAAAATATACGAAGTCTAAATACAGTTTCAAACACTCCCCAAACAGTATTTCTTTTAACAATAAAAAAATTGAAAAAATACAAAAAATTAAAACAAAACTTCCCCAAATATAATTTTCTATAGCCTCGACGCCATTGTCCCCTCTCTTCTTCTACAGCTTGACTCGATCTCACTCCTAAATATCACTGAAATATAGGCAATTTTGTGAAAGTTTATTGGTTTGGCTGGGCAAACATTTGGTTCATCGTTGTTTTGTGATCTCAATACCATCTTCCAGATCTAGGGTGTGACATGACGATATTATGATACGTTTTGTATTCAACATCCATTGTCTTTGTATTCCATGTCCCTGTCATCTTAATATTGGGCAAGGGATAGGCTATTCTAATTAGTTAGTTATTTGGCTTATTTTGATTTCATATAGATTCCAATTATTTAGAATGACACTAAGAAAAAACAAAAAAAACTTAGATGTATGATTTGTAAGTAAATATGAATTGAGTGGTTATGTACGAACGTCTTCCTAAACCTTGCCCTTGCAAATTGATTCCTGTAAATTATGGCTGAATCCAGACACTAACGGAGCCGCGCTTCCTGCGAGTTCGTCTCAATCGTCTACCGGCTTAGCTCTACCTTCTAGCTCCAATGGAAGAAGCTTCAAATGGAAATCCAGCAGCGAATTCTCCAGCGGAGGAGGATGAGCCCATCGTCGGCCCTGGCCCTGCTCCACGTGCCAGACCTAAGCGCCCTCTCAAATTCGAACAGGCCTTTCTCGATACTCTTCCGTCTGCCCACATGTAAGATACCGAACAACCTCTCTGCTACTTCGACAGTTCTCGTTTTCACAACGATGGCTTGTAGGGTTTACGAGCTGTTGGAGCCGATTGGCTCTGTATTGATTTCTTGTTTGTTGATTAAATATTCAAGCTGATCATTGATGTTTTATTTACCAAGCTTATTTTACTTTTAATCTGAAACCTCTTAAAACCGTTCAGAAGAGGATCCAATTTAACAATCCATGCGATAAAATTCAGAGCATTAATGGGCTGTTTGGCTACAAATTCATTAACATTCAAAACATTATGCTTGTTGGTTGCCGAAAAATTGGTGGTGGTAGAGTGATTATTTAACATCTTAGTATTGCACAAAGATGCAAAGCTCGCACAGATAATAAAAAGTTGGAGGAAATATTAAGTTTTTTCTTTTTTTCACGTGAAAAGATCCTGGAAAAGAAAAAATCACGGGGCTTAGCCCATTCAAAACAATTGACTATGTGTTTGTAAGTTCACAGGGTGCATCTTCCTCCCGTAACTAGAAAGATAAGGTTACTCCCTACACAAAAATTACATTTGTCTTTATATAACACAGAGAAAATAGATGCATTAGACATAAAACTATATTTTAGATTGCAACAGTTGCAAGCAGGGGTCGCTGCGGTGACAACTGACAGTGGTCGATGGCTATGAAGTCCTGTAGTTATTCATCGGGTCTTCTTCATAATAGGTTTCGGAATTCCATTTTTTTGTTTTTTTTCTCACCTTCAAGTGGAAAAGAGGAGGCCTATTTTTAGCATTTTGAGAAGGGTAATTTGGTCTTTTGGCGCATAACTTCCTTAACCATCTGATCGTATGGTCTTTGTTGATCCCCCATGTTCATAGATGAGTTTTTAATGATTTGGGCTCCTTAGTAACATTGAAATTGAACAATCTTGGGGTTATTGGATCCCTCTCGTCAAGATGCTCGATTTGACTATAAATATGTTAAATTTGGTGTTCATTAAACCATTTAATTAGCATCCAATGCCTCCAATTATGCTTCAATGACTTAATCGGGTCTTGATTGGACCCGAATTGAACAAATTATGACATCATTGGGTTCATTTTGTCTAGACGGTTAGTATGATTACAAACTTACTAAAATAAGGCCCACATGATATTGAATTTTAGATTTGGAAGCCCCCTTATAAAAAATTCATCGAGATTCATGCTTGATAAAAATTGTTGATGGCATCAATATTAATTTTTAAATCATAGAGGTGAATCCAAAAAAATGTTTGACAGAATAGAAGTTAAATTTGATTGATTGGCTGAAGCTTTAGGTTAAAATGAATGAGGAGAAGAGGCATAATGAGTAGAATGAGTGTAAATTCCCTATGATATACTAAATCCGCGATTTAGCCTAAAATAGGATTTGAGATGACTGTAAGATTTTTGTGGCTTAAAAGACTGTTTAGCATGATTTAGCAGAAATCATTGCTATATTGTGGAATCCCTAAATTGTTCAATTTTCCATTTGTAGGGCATTTCATTTCTATAAGTCAGCGACATCTGATTTTTAGAAGTTCATCAATGAGATCGACTAATATGAAGTTTCTTATAGGTATGAAAAGAGTTACATGCATCGAGATGTGGTTACACATGTTGCAGTATCAGCTGCAGACTTTCTCATAACAGGAAGTTATGATGGTATGTTGCTTATCTCACACTATTTGTGCTATATTCCCATGAATCTGTTATGAGCTTGTTGAGTCCTCTTGGTATTTTTTTCGTCGTTATACTAATATTTCATTGTTTAATTTGATCTTATTATGTGCAATTTTTTTTTAATTTTTAATGAACGTCCTCCAAAGCCACGATTCTTAAGTCAAATTACATTTGTGAGGAGAACCATTTTCAGAAGTTTTGGATATGAATTGAAATGTTTGTTGAAGGAAGGCATTTGATGTAGTGAGTTGGAAATGAAACTTTTTTTTTCCCAATGGAATTCTAGTAGATTGTAGAGGTGGTCGAGGCTGTGATTGTATAAATTGTAATTAAATTTTTATGGTTTCTAGATGAAGGTTTGCTAAGGGATTTAGGGTTATGGCTTGTGCTTTTGAATTTGAAGATACTTAAGGAGGGAAATGAGTTCAACATGAGAGCATACGCTAAATCCGATATAATCATCCTCGTGTATGGAATAATCTTCTTTTTTCAAGATTCTCTCAAATAGGTGAAAGATGAAGCTTTCCTTTGAAATCTAGATAGGATAGAGAGGATGCAAACGAGTTTTGGATGCATGTCAAGTGGGAATGGGTAATTTGATTACATAGAGCTTTGTGCATGGATTTGTGAAAAGGTTAGAGGAATGTAAGATATATGAATATGGTTGAAATTCAATAGGCCAATAAAGAGATAATCATTTTGGAGAGAGAGAGTTAGACATGAAAATATAAGGAACATGAAAAGGGAGGAAAAAAAATTCATTTCAATCCAAAATTCATCCTGATCTTAAAAATGTTTATGATCTTTTTTCTTAGGAAATGATTTTTGTTTTTTATTCAAAGTCTGACACTAAAGCAATTTTTTATAGTTATCCAGATGAAGATAAGAATTAATCAAAATTGCTAAATAAATCCAGAGTGAAGTAGAATTTGAAACTTGATATGGTAGCCGAGCCTTTTTTAGCACAATTGTGTCGCATTAATCCATTTAGGCGTAAGAAAAACCAATCAGACTTGCGGTGATCTAGTCAATAATGATTGATTCCAATTGCCTTAAGAATTAAGAAGTGTATGTCGAATTGGTTTGACAACGGCGAGGTTGGTTGGTTATGGGTGAAGCTTCTCACGCATATTTGGAGTTGCCTAGACATAAACTAGATAGGGAATTTCAAATGTCTCAAAAATTTACTCTTGCATTTGTTTTTCCTTCGGCCAAAAAATTTCAAATATTAATCTTTTTCTTTATTCTACAGTACTAATACTGCAACAAAACAGTCCCTAAATATTTTCCTTTCACTAAACTGACTCATTGTTGTTGAGGAAAGGATTTGGTGGAATCTTATAACTCGTATTGGTTGTTTTTTGGTGGATTGCAAATTTTGGAAGATGATTGTGCAGAACATTCTTGTATATTTTCATGTCTTTTTATGCCCAATAAATTCTAGATTCCATATTTTGTGTTTGCAGATGTGTATTTTTTTTTTAAATAATTAAATATGTTTTGATGTTTTTCTTGCATAGAGCATTTCTGTATTCACACTCTTCTAGAGTTGGTGCCTCATCAATTTTATATTCTTTACTCAAGGTCTATAAATTGTAGAAATTGCATGTGTTTGTTTGATCATAACTTTACAACACATAGCTCTGGTTCTTAATTTTAGTAATTATTGGTGGTTTTCTTAATGCTATTGTTTTGTTCCAACTTTCTGAGAAGTTTTTCATAAAGATATCTAATGTATGCCATCATTTTGATGTCCCTTGTTTACTCCACCTTCACAGGCCATCTTAAGTTCTGGAAGAAAAAGCCTGTTGGAATTGAATTCGCTAAACATTTTCGATCTCACCTTGGTCCGATTGAAGGCTTAGCTGTGAGTTATCCCTCGTCTTGTTTTTTAGCAGTTGCTGAGAAATTTGTATTGAAGGGGTTCATTTTCTCATATTTATGAAAAGGCTGCACTTTCCTCAACTACATGGAAAAATATGCGATTCATTTTTTTTTGTAACCAAATTATGTAGTGATGTTGTATTTCTTTTTCTTGAAATACTGCTATGAAATCAAGGGAATATTCTGCTAAGATTGGTTGAATTCAGGCATATTGGCTAGTTTTAAACATATATTTAAAGCCAATTTTGTCAAATCCACACTTGACTGAAGGGTCATATAAAACATTCCTGGATTATGTTAACCCAAGCTGTATGAGAAGATACATATTGAATTTTATTGGTATTTGTGCACAGGTGTTCAGAAACTCTAGCGCGCAAGCTAGGATTTTGGCAAGCAAGGCATTTTTAAGCTTTCTATAGTTAGGTATTCATGCAAAATGGACCTTGGTAACTGATGATTTGCCGGGCAAAGCTAGACTTGTATAATAGCAAAGGGAAAAAATAAATTATGTTGAATACTCACAAACATCCCTTCACAAAAAAATGTCAATATGTAGCTTCTCCTACGAAAGGAGGGTAAGTGTTTCCTTTTCTACCGTAAAGATGAACTGATACCGGAGTTAATCTAAACAACAATAAGCAAAATATTACTTGAAAAGCTTATAGATAGTTACAACCAACACACACAATAGGAAAGCGGGGATGTTCGTTGCCTGGGACGACCACAAGTGGATAGGTGGACTGGGTAGTGGAAAAACAACGATCCGATGCGGTGCTGGGCGGCTAGAGCAGCAGCTTAGATGTGGGGAGGTAGGGAGGCAGTGAAGGAGGTCGGGGACAGCGGCTAGGTGGCAGGGAAGTACTTCAAGAGGGCTGAAACAGTAGTAAAGCAGTCAAGAACTGATGTTCTGGGCGGCACCAACTGGCAGGAATAACGGTGGCAGCGACAAGGAATGCTTGGGGCTGCAAGACAGTTAAAGGATGGCGTACTGGGGCTGCGACAGCAATTATGTGGCTGAAGAGCGAGGAACTACAAGAAGAAAAATAAAATGGCCATTGTCGAAGCGGTTGTAGCGAGGAGGAATGCATGTTTGTGAAACATGAGAGATGTAGAGGAGTTTAGGAAGGATAAATATCCCTTCGGGAATAAGACATGGGACACTAATGTCTGTCTTGGCAGAAATACAATCTTAAACTGAAAACCTAAAATACGAAAAACGAATATATAAGCCTAGGGTAAATAGGAGTGGGCCCCCTCACAAGGAAACAATAAATCCACTTGAGGAAGGTCAACCGACCCTCAAAATCCCAGTATGAAGCAATCCATGCCGCCCAGGCTTTGCTTCGCCCTGTCCAGACGTGGAAGTGGTCGCGGGATTGTAGCAGGAATATTGGAAAGGCATATGCGGGAAGCTCCCGCGTCACAAACATGATACATTTTGGTGAAAACTACCGATAATGCTCATGCAGTAATGGAACCTAGCTTAATGTAGGTGGTATGCCTGTTGAAATATGTAGTTTTTAAAGCTATAAAGTAAACTATTTTAATTTATTAGAGTGGTCAATTTATTCAAGCCTTTTTTCTTTACATTATACCTTTCAAATTGCATATGACTTCAGCATATTCAATATTAAATTGCTTTCAAATACTTATTATTAAGCCCTATGTGTATTGAAAAATATTATAAATAATTATCAAATTGGCCAACGTTAAGTGGAGTTTATAAAGTTTTCTGGGTATGCGTTTTCCATTTATTTATGTGATCATGGTTGAAGATGTCCTTAACTCATTTTTTGTCAAGACGGGTCTCAGAGCCATTGTTTTTTCTTTGAGAAGAGTGCAATATAAATTTTGATTAATTTTTCATGCATTACACTTATCTTAAAGCAAATCCAATGACTTTGAAACTTGACCTTTCCAAAATTTGGATTAAGATATCCCCACCCAAGTTTTTTCATATATATTATTGATCATGCTTTCAGGATCTAAAGTTTTTTAAAGAATATCTTATAATATTTTCACAAATTTGGAAAGATAAATGAAAACTATAAGGTTCTTTGGGTACTTTGTAGTTGTTTGTGAATCAGTAAGTTTCTCTAATCAAAAGTAATTTAAATGCCATTATGTTAAATAGACAATTAGTTGAAATATATATGCTTTCGTTTGCATGCGTTATGAAATACAAATATAGTTATATATTAAATTTGTGATTTAAATGATGTAATGATATTGTTTATTGGGAAAATCCTTTTAATAGAGGTTTGTATTTAGTCTGTTGAGTTAGATTGGTTGATGGATTGAAATCAACAACTCAAATTAAATTAGAAGTAAAATGAAAGCAGCTTGATTATAGATGGAACCAATCTATAATATAGTTCAATTTATTTGGTTTGATTCTAGCTTAATCAAATTTTGATCATAAAAGGTAAAAGTTTTGATTTAGAAAATGAAAAGATCAAAATCAAATTAAAATATAAGGAGAAAATAAGAAACCAAACACACACACACACACAAACACACACACACAGGCACATCCGAACAATAATGGATGGGATTGGAAAACACATATGTCATAGGGAGAAATGAGAGTAAGAATTATAGAGGGGCTGTTCATAGGCTGATAGATTGCTTCTCCAGAAAAGGCTCGTACAGTATCAATAGATTCTATAACCATATCTAATGATGCCAGAGATAGGGGAACCTAGGTAATACTAATACCGAACAATCCAATAACAACTGGGAAGGTACATACTCAAAATATTAGTCTAAAATAATGCATAAGGATCAGAAGATTCAAGGGGTTGATGTAGCATTTTTCAGAAAGTTGTCAATTAATATTGTAATAACCAATTTTTTTGAGAAATCACATAAAATTTTTGGCGACATGCAATGTATCCTAATTATCACACCCCTCATATTTCAATCGAAATAATTTTATTAAATTCTACACAAAAAATGGATCAATTTCATATGAAATGAAACACTGTATGTAAATTATGAAAGAATTGAGAAATATAATATTTAAAAGTTTTAAATTTAATTAACTTTAATTAAATTTAATTAATCCCTAATCCTATATTAATTCCGCAGGTTCACTGTAGTTAATCGATATTTCTTCGCCTTTTAATCCTTCGTTTGGTCGAATAGAGCTCGAGCTTTACATTTCTTTCTCCCTCTCCTGAGTCCTCTCCCGCCCTCTCGATTTCGTTCAACAGAAGCTCCTTTGAGGAGCTACGATCGCAGCAGGCCCACGGACGCAAGCATAAGGGATGAGCGGTCACCTGGTAAGCCGCAAACCACGCCCCATATCCCGATTTCCTCTCCCTTTTCTATCGGTTTCGCCCGTACGAGAGGTTCTTCAGATTCCTTCATTTCTTGCAAGCTTCTGCGAGATCGGCAACTAGGCGGCCCGCAGAGTGCCACAATGTGCATTTTAGGGCTCCAAGGAATTTTTGGTGAGTACGAACCCATATTTCATACTATTTGAGAGTTTAATTTTCTTTCTCTTGTATTTTGAGTTTTGTCTCATTTTTCGTATCTTTTTTTCTCTTCGACAGTCATCATAGGCATCGATCTTGTGCTAAAAGTGTCGGTTTGCGAGCTCCATAGGGTATTCTGGCACGAATTCAATGAATGAATGAGGAGTTTGATAAGATAAGAAGAAGTGAGAAGAAAATTTAGTCTTTTTGGAGAAGAGTTGGTTGCCGAGAAGGCTGTTTAAGATATATTTGAGCGGTTAAATTACTTTATGAGCCAAGATATCTTTAAATCCTAAGTTAATTGCGGATTTAGGTTATTTTTTCGGGCGGTAGACTTGTAGTGAGAGTGTGGATATTCACGGTAAAACAACCCCATAAATTCATGTAAGGTAATCTTATGGTAATTTAAGAAGATTAATTCAATTAACATAAATTGTTAAAATTTTTTTTATAGGTTATTGAGCTCAATAAAAAAGACACCACAACCTCAAGCTAATTATCGAGATTAAGACTTTAACGTGACAACTGAGGTGAGTAATTAAATTTATGTAATCATTTTTATTTCAAAACATATGTTGATTTAATGTATGTTTTAGTTCAGTTAGATTTATATTGCAGTATATTCTTTATATTTTTAGATAGAAAGTTATGTATGACTGAAGAATTATAAAAGATGTGCATGTATGATATTTAGATAGACATTATATGTAAGTAAGATAAACATGTAGGAAAGATATGCATGATATAAGTAAAAGATATGTGCGAGATAGATGGAAGTAAGAAATATGTATGAGATAGATATATAAATGATATAAAAGATGTCTGATGAATGTTGAATAACAGAGAAATATGCATGTTAGTAGATGCATAAAGATGTCCCAGAATAATGTATGTATGAAGAATGAAGTAATTTATATGTGAATGTTTGCATGTGCATGTTGAGAGCAGGATTCCACCTCCTAATAGTGCATACAGTGGATGCCAGTGTATCTGTGTGCGTAGAGTTTTTCTACCACCCCAGATAATTATGATGGTTAGATCACTAACCGTTGTGTCGAAGGAATAAGATCGGTCAGGGGCGAGTAGACTAGAGCTTACCTCCTCAGACAGTTGTGATGTTTACATTGCTAACCCCTGTGCCGATAGGATAATATCGACTAGGGGCAGCTAGGGGCATTTCCAGTAGATCGCTAACTGTTGTTTCGACGAGAGCTGATGTGGTAATATCAGTCAAGGGTATGTTAGATTGTTGACAGAATGACGGTGATCCTCACTTAGATAGAAATGTATGTAAATAATATAAAGTAAAATTAAAGTTAAGATAAATGCATATGAAAGATTAATATATGTTCATTTAAAAAATGTTATTGATACATGCATTAATATGTATCAGATTGCTTATAAAATTATGAAATACCAGTATATTCTAAGATTTCTTATAGACTGACATACATATTATATTCTTTTTCTTAGATTACTATAGTTTAAAAGTGTGATTACTCTAATTTTATCTTTAGATAACTAATTATGTTGTTTCAATATTATTGTTTAGGTTTTAAAGATTTAAACAAGACGAATAGTAGATGAACAAATGTATACAGGAGGCGAGAACAACAACCAAAAATGTGAAAATTTCTACTTGTTATTTTTAATTTCTTATTTTTAGTGGCTCTCTCATTATTATTTGAATATTAAATTATTAGTGATATAATTAAAATAACAGAGAATTGATTTCCATCGTCCGACTGCCAATTTCCGTTTTGGTTAACCCAAGTCCCGGGTCGGATCGTGACAAATATAATGATTAGTATTTACCACACTTAAATCTTAAATGTTCGTATTGCAATAAAAAAACCTATCTCGAGCATTGAGGCTCCTAGAAAGAATTTTGTCAATATTGGATGAGCACAAACTGTCAATGTTGGACAAGCACAAACTAAATTTTTTAAGCTTGATACTAAGTGGGCAAACTTATGGGAGACTGTGGGTGAAAAAGCTAGGAGCTTGTGTTAGAGTGGGGTGTCTACAAGTGCGGGTGATGCATGTTTGTGAGAGTGAAATGACAATCTTGATGTCTGCATGTGTTGCTATAGTTTATGAATTAGTATGCAACTTGCAAAGGAAGTAGCTTAATTTTACTACTATGAAAACAAACTTGTAATTTTGTCTAAAAATCTTTGACTATTTGTATGTTAGATTAAGGGTCTGTTTGAGGCAGCTGCAGTTGTTTTAAGAAACAGTTGTGAAACTATTGTAGAAAAAACTACTTTTTAAAAAATTACGGTGGTTATTATAAATTTATTTTATTTTCAAAAAATCAGATCACAGCTTTCTAGTAGTTACCACACTTTTACAGCTCAGATTGAAAACAAACAACTTTCTACCATAAAAATTTCTAAAAAGTGGCAAAAAAGCAATTTCTCAAATAAAACTGCGGTGACAATCTATAAAGTAAAGTAGATAGAAAGCTGTCTCAAACAGATCCTAAATCAAATCTTTGTCATCCATGAATCATGATGTAACATCTGATATCTTTTGGATTTTTTATTTCTTTCAAACCATTGCATTTATGGCACTTTGCTATGATTTCATCTCCTTCCATTTCAAATTTATGAATCTAATTTTCTTTGTAATTTTAATTTGTTGCTCTTTATGTGTGTCTTTGTTCCCCAGTATCTAATCTTTATATAATCATCGTGCTTTATGTTCTTGATTGTTTTGCAAGCTATGTGATATTCAAATAACCTAATGACAATTTTCAAAAAGCTTCTTTCTTCTGCACTTCAATCTTTGATTTTCTTATATTAGTTTATTGCAGTAAATTGTTCTCCATGAATACAATTTGTTACGGTATGATTAACAGTATCGATATCCTTTCCAACTTCTTGATTTTAAATATGCATTTCTTTGTCTGCTTTTCTTTATTTTTCCGCAGACCTCATTGAATGCGTTCTAATGATCATGCATACCTTTAAATAACTATTAATTCAAATTGTACTCAGACAACTTTTCAAGCAGAAGATTTTTAAGTTTTGATCTTCAGGCCCTCGAGACTTTGTAATGCATTTTTGAAATTTTTTCTTTTCTTTTATCATTTGGCCCCAGAGCATAAAATCAGCTTTCAAAGCACCATTGTCTCGCCAGCATCTCATGTATTTATTGCAATATATCACTGATGTTTCCTTGCATTGTACTGTTTGATTTATCCACTTAATAATCTCTATGATTTTGTGATTGAGTGCTGAGGAAAAAAAGATGATGTGTATTAAACAGTTGAAGTTCACATTCTAAGTATGATGTTAGTATCTGCCATTTAAAATCTAGCAATAAATAGAGAAAAGTGTCAAAATAATCTTCTGCGGGGGGTCATTTTAGTCCCAAAATTTATGAAAGTGTCAATTTAATCCCTAGACTCTTTTAATATGGGCTGAATAATCCCGAAAGAGGACTATTTTAACCCAAATTTAAAAACTTTGAGGACTAATTTAATTTAACACTTTATAGACTTAGGGACTAAAATGACCCCATCTAAACTGTCAGGGGACTATTTTGACACTTGTAATAAATATGAAATTAAAATGGGACATTGACATTCGTACCGCACAAATCTTATGTATTTACATATCTATTACTTTAACATTCCTATTTACTTGCATACCACTCAAAACTTTAACATCACATAAAAAATACCACCTTCATTACCTTTAAAAGTAAAATACACCTTTTCATCATAGGCTTTTGATACCGAGTTGTTATAAATGTAACTATCAAACTTTGGGTGTTGGATATGTTAATATGTAAGAATTGTTTGGTTTGTATGTGAATTTCCCAATTAAAATTTCATATTACTATTTCTAGAGCTCACCCTGCAAAAAAAAAAAAAAAACGTTACAATGTTCGTTCTGTCTTTTGCATGATTTTCATTTAATGATTTTGTAGTGTGATATTTCTGTCTACTTTTTTTTTGGAGCTGTTTATCTTCCTGACATATTCAATCCACACCCCACGCATAATAAGCTAAAAGATGATATAAGCAGCTGTCAATTGTAACGTGGTTCAGTGATGCAGGTCAGTGTTGATGGCTTATTTTGCTGCACAATCTCTAGCGATCAGTCCGTGAAAATTTATGATGTCGTAAATTATGATATGATGGTTATGTTGAGATTGTCATTCGTACCTGGAGCTGTTGAATGGGTCTACAAACAAGGAGCTGTGAAGGCCAAGCTCGCAATCAGTGAACGTCATTCCCGTTTTGTTCATGTTTATGATGCACATGCTGGTTCCAATGACCCAATAGTTTCAAGAGAGGTCTGTTTGTTCTTAAATCACAATTAATTTGAATTATTTTTTGGAAGCTTTACATACATACCCACTCAAAATTCTTATGTATTTACATATCTAACACCTAAACTTAAATTCTTACATACATGCCACCTTCCCCATGCATGAAAAGGTGTATTTCAATTTTTAAAAGTTAAAATAGTGTTATTTATGATTGATATGTAAGAATTGAGTGCTATGCCTGTAAATCTTCTTTTTATTTAACTACTATACATTTAACCTTTACCCCTTTAGATTCATATGGGACCTCTGAAAGTTATGAAATATAACCACATATATGATACTGTAATTTCTGCCGATGCTAAAGGAGTTCTTGAATACTGGAGCCCTGCAACATTGCAATTTCCTGAAGATGGGTATGTGTATTGTTTTTTTTTTGTTTCTATCAACCTTAAACCAGGAAATTTTATCGTTTTATCATAAACTATGTTGGTTGCATGGTATCAAATTTATAAAAAAACCCACTGCTGTTTTTTATTGTTGTTATTCACCTTGTCTTCTCTCTTCATTTATAATTTTTTTTTGTTTTTATTTTATCTTGTTTATGTTTTGATTTGAAACGAAATATATTTGGTATCTTTGATTAAGATATGGTGGCTTTTGTAAACACCTAAAACATCTAAAAGTTGTTTTGAGTGCTTTTAAAAATATTATTTGTTTATTTTTAGAAAAAAAACTATATATTAACAACACATTAAATAAACATGTTTTTTTTTCTTAAAGTGGAAAAGACAAAAAATTAAAATTGATCCTGAAGGTTTGATGAGAAAAAATAATGATTCTTCCTAAATTTCATAAGTAGTGTTGACAAGATAAATTTTAGAGGAATTCCAGATTGGGAAAGCTACAAATTCCGCAAATCCCTTGCTAGAAAATAGGAAACTGAAACTAACAAAAATAGGAAATTATGAAAATAAAAAAAAAATTAAACTAGAAATTTCTAAATGTAGAAAACTCTAATTTTTCTCCTAGAAATCCGATACTTCACCTCATGTTGGAGCATAAATATCTATCATGGCCAACTTACATACGAGGAGCTCAAAATTTGACTTGAAAAGTTTTTTGGTGAAGATAACTACTATTTATTGCGCAGTAGGAATAAAAGGCAAACAAAGCTGCTCCACAATCAATCACTTCTTTATGAAGTGTCTGCCAATTTCTACATGCTTTGAGCTATCATGTTTTAATGAATTTTGTGCAATATTTATTGTTGTTTTATTGTCACTGTACAACTTAATTGAAATGTTATCGGGATCCGTAGCTCTTCCAAAATTATCTTCAACCATGAAATCTCACATACTTCTTTTGCCATAGCCTTATATTCTGCCTTAGCCGTGCTCATTGCATCCACATTTTGTATCTTACTTCATAATATAACCAGATTTCCACATACATAAGTACAATATCTGAGACGTCGTTCTCTTGTCAATAATTGAGCTTGTCGTATCTTCATTAGTTTATGCCTTTACATTAAGTTGTGTGGTCTTCTGAATGACTATGCTCTTGTCTGGCAAACTTTTTAGGTATATGAAAATTCTATTAACTGGTTGAAGGTGTTTCTCATTGGGTGAATGCATAAAATAGTTTAACGAACTCAGACCAAAGATAATATCTAGCCGTATATGTGATAAATATATCAACTTTCTCATTAATTTTTGATACCGAATATATTCATTAGATCACATTCCTTTCAATCTCCTAGTTTTTGATTAAGACTAATTTGAGTGTTTATAGGCTTACAATCACTGTCCCAGTTTCTTTGAGAACATCAAGAACATACTTTCGTTTGGAAACACCAATTTTTGTTTTGATGGACTAATTTTCATTCTAAGGAAATACCTCAAAGATTTTAAGTCATTGATTTAAAAAATTGATGAGAGAGAAGTCTTCAAATAGTCTATTTCGTCTACATAGACAATTAAAATGAACGTCTTCCCATCATTTAAATGTCCATAAAATATTATGTGATATCATTGCCCTTGAGTATACCCCTGACTTTTAGCAAATAGAATAAATTTCTCAAATCACGCTCTTGGTGGCTGCTTTAACTCATATATGAACTTCTTTAATTGACACACTTTTGTGCCAAACTTTTCACTAAATACTAAAGGTGCGTCCATATACACTACTTTCTTTAAGTTTTTATTCAGTAATGCATTTTTTATATCCAACTGTTGTAAGGATCATTCAAGATTAGCTGCAAATGATAGAAGAACTTTTATAGAGTTTAGTTTTGCGATTGAGGCAATTTCTAAATAATCAATGTCATATGTCTGAGTGATCCCTTGGTAACTAGTCAAGCCTTGTATCGTCTTGAGAGCCACAAACTTATACTTGACTTTGAACACTTATCTGCACCTTACATTTGTCTTGTCGACTTTGAACACTTATCTGCACCTTACATTTGTCTTTTCTCCAAGTAGATCAATCAACCTTGCGTGTCATTTTTTTAGGAGCTTTTATCTCTTCGAAAATAGTTTTTTTCCACTTAGGAACTTTTAGAGTGTCCTGCACAGCACTAAAAATCTTTATACAAGACAAGTGTGAGGTAAACGCATGAAAATAAGTGATAGATTTTCATATAATATATAATGGGACAATGAATTTTTAGTACAGGATTTCACACCCTTACAAGCGACAATGGGAAGACTGGAATCATTAGGCTTAGGATTGAGGCTAGACTCAGGTTCAGGACTAGAAAAATTGAAACTCGAAGATGAAGTGGGTTGAACATGGGGTAAAAACTTAGTGAGGACATCACTTGTAGGATTGTTCATGGATTTTGGGGAGTGCAAAGAATTCATAGACCTTTTATTTTTGAGTTATCCTTTGGAGCGTATAGATGATGTGTGAAAAGATTGCATGAATTTCTTTATATTTTGCACATCTTTTTGAAAGAAGTTGTACTTTATAGAAAGGTATTTGCATGTTTTCCTTGCAGGTATAACATGTATTAGGAGTGTAACAAAGTGGAAGAAGCCTGGAGCAAAAAGGAGAAAATTTTAAAAAAAAAAAAAGTTTGTGAAGGCTGAGGCAATGACGCCAAGCACTGGGCGCTTAGGCGCCAACAAAGCCTGGAAAACTGAGAGAATGAGGCCAAGTCGTCAACCACGGGGCACCATGGCCCCAGCTATGAAGGCTAAGGCCATGGCGCCATATCCCCGACCAACAAAGTGCAACCCGACAGGTTGGCGCTTAGGCGCAACCACTGGGACATGGCCCTAGTCCTAAAGGCCAGAATAGAGCGACGCCTAGGCAGCAGTACCAAATTTAACACAATTTTGAGGCAGTTCAGAGCAGTTTCAGAGCTATTTAATGATAATTTTAAGAGCAGTTTGTAGTGGATTTGAAGAGGAGAAGAAGAGTTCGTGAAGGAGAAGTCTAGAGAGTTTTCTTGGTGGTGATTTCTGTTGTGTGTGTTGGGTTAGAGAGTGTTTAGGAGGGATTTTCCTCCATTGTTTGTAAGTGTCCTAGGCTTGTTCTAAGCAAGTCTAGGGGTGTGAGTTGTGCTGTGTTGTAAGTTCTGATTGTGTAAGGAGTTCCAAGAGAAGAGTAAGGGCTTGGGTGGTGCAATCTCAAGGCAAATTGAGGGAGAGAGAAATATACTTGTGATTTGGATTTATAGTTTTTCTAAAACACATTTGTATGTTGAATTTTTTTGTTTCAATGCATTCTGGTGTTGTTTTATCCATGCTTCTGAATAAATTTTCTTGCTTTTTCTTGTGGTGATGTAGTAGGTGTGTAGGAATGTGGATAGCATGCATGACATAATTTTTATTCTATATTTGTGATAATTTACTTCTGCACTTAGTTTACTTTTCAATCTGACCAATTGATGTGTTAAAATGTGTTGTGAACCCGTAAGGACTCGGATGGGTTGCGACATAAACAACTAAGAAAATCACGTTGAACTATAGGATATGAATCAAAGTACACTGTAGGGGGATGCAAATAAATATAGAGATAATTTCATTGGGGTTAAGAAATTAATGTCATTTTAAACACGTCTCTTTATATGCTCAGAAGAGGGTAAAGAGGATTTATGCTTCTATTTGTCACAATATTTTACCTTATTTTACATTTTTTCCACATCTAAACTATACTATTATCACTGCAAGGAAATGTAACCTTAGCACTTGCACAACCAATTTACTTAAGGTAGTTAGAAATTCTATAAGAGTAACTTTATATAATTGCAGTAGGTTTGTTACTAAAACTTAAGTATTTCAATATTCCAAACTAAGAAAGAATTAAGTAGACTAGAATATTTTTCTACTTTGGATTCCAGTGTTCCCTGTAGGTTTGACATTCCTGACTCTTCAGAGTCGTACATTACTAAAACGATATGTACTTGAGTGAGAAACCTCAGTGTGTAGGAAAATCTGATTTTAATATTTCAATCAAGTTAATAGAGAGCAAACTGAATTTTCCAGTGTCGTTATCAGGCTTTACATTATTGTGATAACAGTTGAGGCGGATCAGTAGACAATGCCAAATGATACTAGTGTCATGGTTCTTTTTTATGTTTCTTCTTTGTTAGTTATAGAATCATGAATAACATGAGATGACACTGGGAAGACCTGAATCGTCTTCAATATTTACTCACTTTCTCTTGATATAATATAGTTTGAACTTTTAGGTTGTTGAACAGCTAAGATTGAGGAGGTATTATTTTTTTAATGTTTGATTTGGAAAAGATCCTAAAACATAGTAGCCGAATCTTTGTTTTGTTTCGTCCTTGCAGATGTGGTGTGAAAAAAGGGTGCAATTTAAAAAATGTGACATCTAGTGGTCAGCTTCTTAAAATGAGATCAAAATATTTATTCTCCATTTAGTGGGAGCATAACCAACAAACATACATTTTTTGGCTCTAGGTTCAAATTTTCTTCATATATGGCTATGAATGTGAACAAATGTTATTAAAAATAAGTGAGCCGATTTGTTATATAAATTTTATGAAAAATATCAATAAGTGTTTGAAAGTTTAAAATCTTATTGGGTGTTCTATTTATAAGAAGTGTAGCAGTAAAAATAACTTAACTTTAAATATATTTTGATGGTTGATTGGTAAAGATCAATGCCCGAGCTACTTTTAATAAGTGTTTGTATTTTCTTTCAGCCAAATCATTTTATTGCAGATTGTCGACACAAGTGCTTTAATGAACTACATCTTTTTAAGAAGTTGATCAAAATTTTTTGAAATATTCTCAGTCATCATGATTCTGTAATATTTGAATATTTTTTTGAAACTGTGTTTGTATAATGGTGTAAAATTTTTTGAAAATTATTTCTATTTTATATTTTTCTTCATTAAATAAACCCACTTAATGTTGTGCGATCATCAATAAATGTCAAAAATCATTTTTTATCATAATATGTAAGAGTTCTACAAGGACCCAAGATATCATTATGAATAAAAGTAAATTGTATGGTTGGTTTGTAAGTTTGAGTGAAAAAGACGCAGGATGATGTTTGGTAAACCAACAAATTTCATATTAAAATAAGATATTTTATTTTGAAATAAATTGTAAAATAAGCATTTTAGATGCTGAAAATTTAGATGATTTATATCGTCAAAACATAATGTCATTATATATAGAAAAAATATCAAAGCATATGCTAGTATATTGGCAATATCTATTCGAGTCAGGTTGTTCTCAAAATAAAAATTCAATATTTTTCCTTAGCACTGTCAACAATCATCGTAATAGTCGATTTTTAAAACCTACAATAAGAGGAGTATAAATTTGCTTGACATTGATAGTTAAAAGTAATCTTCCTATGGACAATAAGTTATGAGATAAATTGGGAACATGGAACATATCGTGGAGAGTTAACAATGAAGTAAATTTGATAGTTCCTACCCTAATAATTATCGAGAGTGAACTATCTTAGGGTTTACCATGAAGCTTCAAACTTGTCTCATTCGTATGGTATGATTTTTTACAATTCTCGTACTATATTTTCTTGTGCCTTCATTGTCAGTATCAACCCCTTCTGATACAAGAACCCAGTTTTTATGATTATAAAGTGGGTCAGTGTTATGCAATATGATTTTTCTCGAGTCCTCATCTCTAATCTTAGAAATGCTTTCTTGAATAGAAGATAGTGTCTTCTTCTTGAGAATGGGACTTGCAAAAGATATCTAAAACCCAATCGTTTCTTTTTTGCCTTCTTATGGCAAGCATAGTCTTTCAAATTCTCCCAAACATCGTCATAATATTGATAAACTCCTTTGATAATGTTATCAACTCATTGTAAAACTCAAAATTTTTTGAAGAATTCTCTAGGACTAAATAAGATCTTGAACTGTTTCCTACACATCTTGGGTAGTGGGAAGAAAGTTATGATGTTTCCATTGGCGGGTTCCATGGAGTTGATTGGAAGAAAGTGGTAATAGAGTTTTCAAACTATTATTTTTTCATATTAGAATCATCAACAGCAGGTTGTAAATTTATCTATTTAAATGCCTAATTTTGCCTCCTTTTAGTGACAAATTTTACGGATAGATCTCACTCGAGATCGGCTTTTTGAAAATCAGTCCGACCGATTCGATCGTGAACCGTTTTGTGGTCCGGTCCCAACTTTCAATTGAACAATTTATGCAACAAACAGTTCCGGACCACCACAAACCGTTGTTCTACCGACAAACTGGTTCTGGTTCTGGTTAACTAGAACTGGCTTGAACACTGTAAAGTGCATGTGCTTCGTTTTCCCTCCCCATGGCGTCTATGAGGCTTAAATCCTTAACTATATCATCTTGTCCCCAAACCGAGAGAACCTTCATCCCACATCGCTTTTCATGTGAGACATCATCGTTCACTGTTGCTCATGGTTCATTAGCCATTCACTTTCATTCATCATTTGTAATTTGTCCACCCCGAATTCAGTTCACCAGACATTTGACTTCTTTCATATTTTGTTGGCTGTTTGCAAGTAAAATCATCTTTCTATGTGTTTTTTCTTCTTTTCTCGTACTTTGTAGGTTGTACTGTAGTTGTTGTTGTTGGTTGTTGCAATGCACTTTTATTGGATGTCCGCTTTGTTTTGCTTATATGGATTAAATAGCTGCAGAGTCACTCTTCTCTTACCTTTCTATAGTTAATGGCTTAAAGTAGATTGCAGAATAACAAATAATCTATTTTTAAGTCAATCATCACAACTCTATAGAACCATTATTCAAATTTAGGCCTAAAGGCTAAACCAATTATGTCTGAACTTTTTTGTTTTTATATGTTTAATTTGTATTATGACATCATTATTATATCATTTTGATTATATTTAAATAATTTTTTTAATTATTATATCATCTGTTATAAATCCTGGTTGGATCCCGGTCAAACGAATGAACCTTGAACCTCTCTCTCTTTCGATTTGTGTCTTGTCCGATTTTCAGAACCTTGGTCAAGATAGTTATGCCTATTGAGTATTGTAACCGTGAGATAAGGGGCTGAACTCTAGGAATAATAATCTGCATATGCAAGTGTGAGAAGAGTTGTAGGGTGGGACGAAGTGGTTTCAGAATTACCAAAACTAGCAGATACTGTAGAATTTCTTTGGGCACTAGTCATTGCCGACTTATACAGAAGCATCATAAGAAAGAAGAATGGAAATAAGGCATGGGGTTCTAATATCATGTAGGTTTTATGTGAAGAAAAAATAATGATTCTTCTTAAATCATAAGAGATGTTTACAAGATAAATGACAGAAATATCACCAAATTAACAAGCCACAAAATCAGTAAATCTCCATGCTAGAACATAAGAAACAGAAATTATCGAAAATAAAAAATTCTAATTTCTCTCCTAAAAATCCGACAGATCCCAAGCAAGCAATTAGTTTTTTATTGTTATTATCCGGCAGTCTTTGGCTGCACAGTTGCTTTTTTTTTTTAGTACTTTTAGTACCTATTTGTGATAATTCCATATACACATTTGAATAAATAATTTGTTGTTGTATGTTTGAAGCATCTATAAAATCTTGCTTTCCTTAGCTCCTGATTGCCGTACTCACGTTGATGAATGCAGGGTAAGTTTCAGGTTGAAAACAGATACAAATCTTTTTGATATTGCCAAAGCGAAGGCAACTGTTTCAGCCATTGAGGTAATGACTCCAAAATGCTTAATGTTACCAATTATTTCTATTCTGCTTTCAAGAATTCCTTGCTTCCGTGGCTAGTATTTTTTAGGACAACTAGAAAGTGGATTGAGATGGTGCAAAGTGGCATAATTATGATTGGAGATTTTGTAAAATGAGGGTTGGAAATGATTTGAATTGATTGTATAGGGGTTAATGTAAACTATCACGTTGAATCAGGAAGTTCTAAAAAAGCTGACCCAACTTAGTTAAATTGGCTAATTCTGGTTATTTTCCTTTTTTCTCTCTAGATTTTGTGAAGAAGTTTCAAATTGTCTTTCTTTTATGATCTCAATGAAAGCTAAGAGGCAATCATTTTATTTATTTATTTATTTTTTTGTGTTTATATTTTGATTCAACAAAAACGCTCAAAATTTGTTTTGTTATTGTTGTGTAGTGGGATAAAGGCTTGTTGTTGTATGTTTTGATTTGAGATAGCATGTTTTGCTATTTGATTAAAGTGTAGTTATTTAAGAAGCGCTCAATACTTGAAAGATATTTTGAGTATTTTCAAAAGTATGTTAATTTGTTGTTACGAACAAAAATGAAAAAATTTAAAAAACACACTAAATAAATATGTTTTTAAAAATAAAAGAAAAATAAAATGAAAACAAAAACAAAAATTGATCCCAAATAAGCCCTAAAGTTTTGATGACTATGCATAATCAACTGTTTTTCATTGACGCAACCCACTTTTTCTCAGGTTAGCTCTGATGGGAAGCAGTTTGCTGTAACATCTCCAGACAGAAGGATCCGGGTTTATCGGTTTAAAACAGGTAAAATGTGGCGGATGTATGATGAATCTCTGGAGGTACGAGTCTTTTCTGAACTTACCTTCATATTCATGTAAGCAATTAACGTTCAAAGTTTAATTTTTGGGATATTTACATGCATACCACCCAAATTCTATGTATTTTAAACTTTGTTTTTTTACATCTATACCACACAAAATACATCTATACCACACAAAATTTTCATATCACATAAAAAAATCACCATTTTAACTTTAAAAAGTGAAATACACGTTTTCATGCATAGATAAGATGATATGTATGTAACAATTGAAGAAGATCTGTAAATACATGGGAATTGAGTGCTGTTTATAAATCTTTCTAAGTTTCTTTTTGCTGTGTAGGTTGCTCAGGATCTACAGAGAAGCGATGTTCCTTTATATCGCCTTGAAGCAATTGACTTTGGTCGAAGAATGGCCGTTGAGAGAGAAATAGAGAAAACGGAAAGTGCTCCTCAATCAAATGCTATTTTTGACGAGAGTTGTAACTTCCTTCTTTATGCAACATTACTGGGGATTAAAGTAAGTATTTAGTCTCACTTAGTTTGATACAGAACACATAAACATTTCAGGAATTTACTCTATTGTTGCCATCATAATTTCCATACTAAATGATGTCAATATGGGATTTATTAAGAACAGAGGGAGAGATGGAAAATGATGTCTTTTCTTGAAGGATCCAAATGCTAATGTGCAACTTGACTAAGCATTAAAGAAAAAGAAGATTTACAAACATTTTACTCAATTTTTATGTATTTACATATCTAACACCTAATCTTCACTTTTTACATATATCCACCTTAGCTATGTATAAAAGGTGTGTTTTACTTTTTTTAAAGTTAAAATGACGGTAGTTTTTATGTGATATGAAAATTTAGGTGGTATAAATGTAAAAAAGTAAAGTTGAATTAAGTGTTAGATATGTAAATACATAGGAATTGTGTGGTATGCATGCGAATGCCCCTAAAGAAAACTGTTCGTATATACATTGAAGTCATAATGTCTAAGAACAGATTGCCCAAATGAAAACGAAGGACTTCTAATATCTCGAGGGATGATGCCAGAGGTATTTGTCTTAAAATCTGCGGAGGAAGTACCCAAATGAGAGGAACGACTGTTCATCGCACATGAAGCTGAGGGTGAATGTGTAAGGGCAGTAGGATTGTGGATGGAATACACAATTCGAGGCCTTCTTGCACAATTCACTTCTAAATTCAAGCATGCATGGATAATCTCCCTTAGCTCTTAGAAGCAGTTGTATACCTTTGCTATCTTTAGGACATCAAAATTGAATCCTTATTTTCAAGTGATAGCCTTGAATTTCATGTAATGCCTATGGGCAATCTAGTCCATTGAATAATTATTTCATCAGAATTCATTTTTTTTATGTTTTCTTCTTTAAGTAGATGGCCAGGCGGCCTCCCTTGCTCCTTCTCTTGTAGCCTAAAACCTAGCAGTAATATTCTATGGCCTCCGCCCCTCTATACCCACTTAAACTGTTTGCCAAATGTAATTAGCTTTTTTTCTTTGCTAAGAACCTGTAAGTCCACTCTAAGGGGCTGTATGGATGCAAGTAGGATTTATTAAATCCAGAAATACTTAAATCAACCCATCCTTTTGATTTAGTAAATCTGGATTTAGGCCGAATCAAAGGCAAAATTGGATTTTATTAAATCCAAAAATTTGTAAATCCATGGAACTCCTGCTTTCTGCTGTCGGATTTAGTAAATCCAAGTGCTAAATCCTATTAAAAGCCTGTCAAACAGCTCCTAAGTACCCGACTAACCCTAAAACCACACCTAATCGCCAGCTGTAACCTTTTCTATCCTCTCCTACATGGCAATTCTTAAACCCTAGCCAACCCCCACAATTGGCCCACCCTTTTCCCCAGCGAAATTGCAAATCTTAGACCATTACAACCACCCTGATTATACATAATCTAAAGCACGTTCTCATCTTTTTGAAGTTGAACTGCTCATTTACTTTCAATGGATGGATGTAGAGCTTATCAACGGTTGCTTCTTGAAGTTAAGCTTTTAAAACCTTGAAACCACACCTGATGCATGTTCTATTTATTTATATTGATTTTATGGCTGGGAGCATGCAGGGAAAAGTTCCTGTGCAATAAGAACTTCAATATTACCCTCTTGTGTGTTACTCCTCCATTTTCAACACTTGACTAATCTAAATGATGAACCAAAAGAGTTATATTTTGAAAAAATGATTGACTAAATTGGATAAGAGGAAAAATCTGTCTAGAATAAACACACATATGACATAAGGACCGTTTTATTTACTCATTTTGTCTGTTTTTTTCTGGGTTTGAGCTTGAATTGGGAATTGAGGCATAATATTTAGCCTGATTTTTGCTGTATTTGATGTAGGAACCTTCTTGTCTGGTCAGGCGTTCTTATTACATTTCTTGTAATTTGTAACTATTCCACTTTTATCATTTCTTGTCCAAAACTTTTTCTTCATTCTAACAATTTCTTTGTATTATGTTTTCAATTATAGTGACGCTCTGTTTTTCTCTTTTTATTATTGTCTTTACTTTTCACTACAGATTGTAAATTTGCATACAAATAAGGTAGCTCGTATTCTTGGGAAGGTTGAGAATAATGATAGATTCTTAAGAATTGCGTTGTACCAAGGCGACAAGAGCAGTAAGAAGATTCGGAAGATTCCTTCAGCGGCAGCAAATGTGAATGACGCCAAAGAACCTTTAGTCGATCCTACTCTTTTTTGTTGTGCTTTTAAAAAACACAGGATTTATTTATTCAGGTATATTTTTATGCCTTGAACATGTTATATATACTAGTTTTTCTGTCATTTTTTAGGGCATTTACATACATACCATCCCATTCTTATGTATTTAAATATTTAACACCTAAACCTTGATTTTTACATTGGTACCACCCAATCCTTCATATCACATAAGAAATACCACTATTTTAACTTTTAAAAAGTGAAATGCACCATTCTATGCATAGGTAAGGTAGACTATACGTAAAAATTGAAGTTTAGGTTTTGGATATGTAAATACATAAGATTTAAGTGATATGCATGTAAATCTTCCTTTTTTTTTCTCAATTCCTTTTGCTGGGATAATCATAATCTCTTACATGTCATCATTTTAGCTGTATTTCGGCTCCCTTGAGAGTTGTCTAGAAGCAGCTCTAGCAGTTTTAGTAAATCCTATAAATTTGGACTTGCTAAATTCTGCTAACAATTGGATTTAATAATTCGGTATTTAAGGCAAAACTGAGAAAGAATTGAGAAGGAACTGGATCTTTACTAAATCCTGAATTTAGGACTGCCATTTTTTTACGTCTGGCAAGCTTTAAGCTAAATTCTGCTTAAATCCTTTACCGGACAGCCCCTTAAAATCACTCAGGTTTTTATTATTATGTTTTTGCTATTGTCAGCCAAAGAGAACCAGAGGAACCAGAAGATGCAACAAAAGGAAGAGATGTTTTCAACGAAAAGCCACCTCCTGACGAACTTCTGGCTGTCTCTGATATTGGAAAAGCTGTCACTTCATCCCTTCCGGATTCAGTGGTAATGTTTCTTCTATACTTTTCCACATTTTCAATCATTTGATGATGCTCTTTCTAATTGATCTATCAAATCTTTTTTATAATGCTTTTATTAGCTTGAAAAATAATTTGATCTAGATATTTCATGAAATTCACCTAATTTTTCTGGACCTCTTATTTTTCAAAAGCTTTGCATTATTTATAGGGATATTTACTTAAGCAGCACACAATTCTTATGTATTTACATGTCTCATACCTAAACTTTCATATTTAGTTATATAGCACTTTGGCGTGCTAAACTTATGCACGAGAAGATGTATTTTACTTTTGAAAAGGTGGTAACAATGCTATTTTTGATTTGATATTAAAGATTTGAGTGCTATGTGTGTAAATATGACTGTTTTCGTGTGAGCTCTGTAAATACGAAAGAATTGTGTGCTATGTATGTAAGTGCCCATTATTTATATACTTGATTGCATACAATGAAGCAGTCCCAAGTAATTGGCCTAACCTCAATTCTTACATTATCAGGTGCTGCACACCTCTCTTGGTGATATTCACACCAGACTATATCCAGAAGAATGTCCCAAGACTGTCGAAAATTTCACAACTCATTGTAGGAATGGATATTATGATAATCTTATCTTCCACCGTGTAATTAAAGGCTTCATGATTCAGACGGGAGATCCATTGGGAGATGGTACCGGCGGGCAGTCCATATGGGGTCGAGAATTTGAGGATGAATTTCACAAAAGGTAAACTTGCTACTCATGCTAGAATTCAGATGCCAGTTTCATCGATTCATCTGTTCAACAAGCGTTTGTTTTACTTATTGAAAGATTTACATGCATACCACTAAATTCTTATGTATTTACATATCTAGCACCTAAACTTCAATTTTTACATATATGCCCCTTTATCTATGCATGAAAAGGTGTATTTGACTTTTTTAAACTTAAAATAGTGGTATTTTTTATGTGATGTGAAAGATTTGGGTGGTATATACGTATATGTAAAAGGCAAAGTTTAGGTGTAATTACATAAGAATTGAATGGTATGTATGTAAATGCCCTTCTTATTTTACAAGTTACATGGTACATCATGAATACATATTACACATATTGCATGCTCATGTGAATCCTTATTAATCTGATATGATATTATTCTGATTAAATTTTTTATGCTTTTATTTTCAAATTCTTATGCAATATATATTGCTTAATATGCATTATTTCCTTTTGGGGAAATATACATATGTAGCACACAATTCTTATGCATTTATATATCTCACACCTGAACTATCATATTTACATACACAACACTTTTTTGCTGTAAATCTATGCATGAAAATGTGTATTTTATTTTTTAAAAAGCTGTAATAGTGCTATTTTTAATGTGATATTATAAATTTGAGTGCTACGTGTGTAAATATGAAACTTTAGGTGTGAGATATGTAAATCTATGAGAATTGTGTGCTATGTATGTGCATGCCCCTTTCTTTTAATGCCCCATCAATGTCATTCTTCCAATTGGTTTTGCTTTGCATGCGTAATGATCCTTGGTAATTACATGAGAATCAATTTTATGCATTTCATCTCCTTTCAAATGAAAAAAGGAGGGATAATTTCATCGATAATCTCAGATAATTAGCTTATGAAAATGATTAGAGTTATTTACCTTAATCTTAAATTATTAATGAATTTAATGACATTTTGGCATGCCTACTGGCAATTTCGCACATGTATGTTAGTCGTTGATATGCTGTTCATTTGCATGTGGGCATCAATTTTATGCATTTCATCTCCTTTAAAATGAAAAAGTGTGAGGTAATGTCATCTATAATCCCAAATAATTAGCTAGTAGAGATGTTTAGAGTTATTTGTTTTATTGAGAATTTAATGAGTTTGAATTATGTTTTATTGGGTAATAGGAACTTATACCAATACTACATTTGTAGTCATTGCTATTCTGAAGGAGCCACTATAGGATCTCATTGTAGCCATCATAGGACACACTAGGCACTTTTTTTTTTCATAAAGGGCTCTAGATGTGGTAATGAATATACTTAAAATGAGCCTTTTATTCATAATAAAATAGATTGTATTAAAAATATTTGTAGGTGGTATTATATAGGAAAGTTTATGTAAATTACTCACTAATCTATTGGATTAAAGTTATGTTGAAATTTATTTTTTATAAATAATTATCTAATTAATCATATTAACACATAATTAACTTGTTAAGCATTAAGCATATTTTTATTTAACAATTAAGTTAAATTTGCTACAATTATGAGTATTCAAGATCATAAGAATGTATGATTTAAGCATATGACCATTTATGATGTAATAATTAAGCACTTATAAAATAATTGATTGAAAAATAAATAAAAAAAATAGAAATTCAAGAAAAAAAGTTATCAAAAGTTGTAGGAAATAAGAATAATTTAAGATATAATATATAATTTAGAGTATACTTAGCTAAAATCAAAGTCACTTTAAGTGTGTTCATCTTCCTTGAGCACTTGATTGAATCCTACATAAATACTTTTTTATGTGAAACATTTTTAGCACATACAAAAGACTAATTGATCTTGGATCTTCACTTTGCATTCTTGAATGCATTGGATTGAACATTTTGATATTATATATAGTGCTCAATAGTGCACGTTATGGTGCATAGCTTTTCACGGCACACCTCGCGTCATTTAAATGGCGCTACACAGAGATTCATAATAGCATGTGCTATTTGTGCTATACATGGGAAATGATTTAAATACTTTAGTATTATAAATTTAAAATTTTTATTATTTATTTTTTAGTTTGGATTTCTATGAGATGATTTAGTATCCTGCTTTACTTTCTGCTTTTTTCACTCGACCTTGCTCAACTTTTTACGAGGATTTTTATGCGAAGATTGTGACTGTTGGAAAGGGAGATTGTGTAATTTTTTGAGGGAGCAAGGTGAGTGCTTCACTATGATGCACCGATATAAATAGTAGAACACTGGCACAGTAAAAATTTATTGTGACACCATCATTATAAAAAAATATAAGAAACATGTATGTACTTGACATAATATTATAATATTATATCTTCAAAATTTCAATAATATGTAGCAATTATACAAATTAAAGTAGAAATGAATTCTTATATGAGTAAATGTATTTTTTAAATTTGTCGAACTCTATAAATTTAATTGAAAATGAAATTATCATATGCTATTATAGATTATTAGCTTGAATTTGATATTAATTATTATTTTGAAGAGAAAAAACTTTCTTTAAATAGTTATAGAAAAATAGAATAAAATAAGAAAGTAAAACTAGTGATATCTTTTGAATTGTTTAACTTTCTTTAAATAAAGGTAAATAGATGGCTTAACTTAAGTTTATTTAATATATTTTTAATGTTAAATTTTTATTTGGGACATGTTTCAAACAAGTCTTTTATTATTATTTTTTTCATTATTGTTTTAATTGTATACATAGATTGCTTGTTTGATATTTGTCATGCATATGTCAGACAAGTGCATGTGTCTTGCACGTGTCCAACATGAAACTTCATTATTACAAATTGTAGGTGCATCATAAGCGTTTCACAAGTGAGAAGCTTGAGGCCTCAATTTTGTTACGTTGTAGTTTTTGCATCGTCCTATAATTTAATGAATTGATGTTATTATTTTCAATCTTGTTTGATAAAAATTAGAAAAACTAGCTTTGATATACTTTGGAGAGAATACCAGCAAGTTGTTTACACATGTTCATAAATGGAGCACACATTATACAATTACCAAGGTTCTTTATAAGATGTCTATCAATTTTAATATGTTTTGTATGTTCATACTTACAGGATTATGTACATTATTGACAAATGACTTGTTATCATATAGAGCCTCACGGGACATTTTCACTCATTCTTTAAATCTACAATGATACTTTTTAGCCATAGCAATTCGAAGGTTCTTAATGCAATACATCTAAAAATTTACCTCCAAGTAATTTTACATCCAAATGTTGTGTCAATATGTTGTTTTATCGGTATTCTATCTTTATAACCCATTTTGGATAGATTTAAATTGCTAATTTAAGGTTGTAAATTTCAATTATTAAATTGAGGTTGTAAATGTAGTTCAAAATCAGTACTTACAAACAAGAAAAGAACCCAAAATAGTTAGTAAATGGAAAATGCAAAATCGTCAGTCAATTACCCACAAATATTGATTTATAAAATTTCCATATTTTACTTTATATAAACCAGATTAATTTTCTATTCAATACACACACACACACACACACATTAGTAGGGCCAGCTAGGCCATTTGGACCAGTTCAGCCAAGGGGTTACTAGGGCCGACTAGTTCCTATTTTGGGGGCTAGGATTGCCGCCCAAGGGTGGGGCCCACTTCTAATTATCTATTCTATATATTTATTATTTTCTATTCTAGGATTAGTTTTTGTTGAGATTTATGTTTGGACAGCCTCCGACATCCCCTTTTTCCTTTTAGGGTTGTTTTTGACGGCGAGAAGACATTTTGGCTATAACTCGTTTTCTTTTCTTGTTTGGTATCTTCTTTCTTTAACCCAGCTCCCTTGTTTTTTCCCCTGCTAGATCTGCCTTATGAAAATAATAAATATACACTCCACCTCGTACACCCCAGCCAAAGCACCTCCCATATTTGTCACATACTCCTTCAGACCATCCAACTACTACCATGACCCCCACCACCAAACTTTGCTGCTACCGACAACCTTTGTAACCCCCTTTGGAATCCACACCCCACTGGCCAATTGTCTTCCACCCACTTCACCGTCGCCCGAGGTTGTTTATTTTTGTTGTTATTGTTTATTTCTTATTTTGAAGAGTTGGTGTGACCTATTTGAATTCCAACAATAATATTTTTATTTTTGTTGTGGTTTGAGTTAACTCTGGTATCAATTGACATCAGTGTTAGTCTAACCCTATTCCTCTCCTAGGGTTTCCTAACATCTGTCTTATCTCCTCCATTAAAAATTTTCTTTCCTATTCTCAAATCATAGACAAATTTGTACCTAATCCTAATTTCCCTTGCTGATTTTCGAATTAATTTTCATACACCTTCAATTAGTCTCATACACCTTCTTTTACCTCTCAACTCTAAACCCTAGTCATGCCACCAAGGAGATATATGTTCGAGCATACCTAGGAAAAGATACGAGGGATCCATTGAATTTAGAGGAGGCTTACGGACATGGAGGGTGAAACCGATGGGGAAATTACCCTTGATCGTGATAGGAAAAAATTGAAGGGGCGAAAGAGATGAGAATTTCAATCCCTTCCATAGAGAGAGTTTCAGTGATGAAGAAAAAAAGGCCATGACGCTTGAAATCAAGTATCATAGAAGGCCACATATGGAGGACACATGGACTTTATAATAAATGTGAATCTACCAAAGTTCGACGGAGGTATGGATCTAGACAACTTATTGAATGACTACAATTAGTTGAGATGATCTTTGAATATAAATAGGTGTTAGAAGATAAAAGGTTGAAGCTTGCAAATATCAAATTGAGAAAGAATGTTTCCTTGTGGTGGGAATACTTGCAGTGGCAAAGTAAGAGAGAAGACAATGACAAAGTTATCAAATGAGAGAAGTTGAGGAAGACGATGCATAGAAAATACGTATCTTCTTACTTCTGTCAGGATATATTTCTGAGACTCAACCATCTGCAGTAGAAAGACCTATTAGTGAAGGAGTTCACAACGCAGTTTGACTAGTTGCAAATGAAGCGTGATTTGGTTGAGCCAGATTGTTGTTCGTGAACAACTCGTGTTCAATTTGTGTTCAATTCGTTCACTAAGCGAATGAGCCAAACACACCATTTTTTGTGCTTGATATATATATATATATATATATATATATATGCGCCGCGTACTCAGATCAGTTGTTCGGACATCTGTTTGTCAGTTGTAAGTCCCCTCTGGTTTGAGGTTCGATTCCCCCAAGTGTAGGGTATGGTACTCGATTTATTAAGCGCATAAGGGATGACCGGGGCTCGTATAATAGCCTCAGGTCATTGTTTTAAATAATACTCGTCAATATATAT